GTGGCTGCACTGCCCACGCTGTGGGATAGGGAGGGGTGGAAGGAAAACCAGCATCTCCTCTCTATTCAGTTTGCTTGATTATTCAGTATACAAGGAGGAGAGTCTGCTGGGGATAGCAGGGAAGTTACTTGAAATAAATACCTTGGTTTTATAAAAGAAAGATTGATTACTTCATTTAAACATCAATACCCTTTCATTTTGCTTGTGTGTGCATACTGCAAGTGTTTGTGTTACATACTGGGGAGAAGAAATTTGGTTTAACTCAAGGGATGTTCCCCTCTGGCCATGGTTCAGCTTCTTGCTCCTGGTTTTTATGCTTAAATGATTTTTGTGTGTTTTTAGCTTTTGTCCTTTTAGAAAACTTAGAAGAAAATGTCAAATTATCGACCTTGTGGGTTAAAACCAGTTGAAGAGCTGAAATCAGGGTATGGTTACTTGTCAGTCCAGAAGAGTTTGTTCAGTGCCCTTGGCAGCCAGACCTCTGGAGTTGTGCATCACAGAAACAAACATGGGTTTGTGCTAATGAGACACGTGGCATTTTTTTTGTTTCATAGAATCATAGAATGGTTTGAGTGGGAAGGGACCTTTAAAATCACCCTAGTCCAGTCCTCTGCAATGAGTAGGAACAGCTTCAAGTAGATCAGGTCACCCACAGCCCTGTCCAACTTGGCCTGGAAAGTTTCCAGGGAAGGGGCACCCCCTACCTCTCTAGGTAACTTGGCACAAGATTTCACCACCCTCACTGTAAAAAAAAAATCTCCCAAAATAAGACCCAGAGCATGTGAATCCTATGTCAAATAAGACAAATAGAACTTTACCTCATTATAAAAAAATTCCTAAAATCTTCATGGTAATGAAATTGTTGATTAGGTAACAATGATTTTGTAAAGCTTTTCTTTAAGAACAGATTACAGAAAACATGATTTTTTGGTGGGTGAACACTCTCACTGAATCCTGTCCCTTAGCGTGGACATTCACTGCAGGAGGGAGCCAGGGTTTCCCAGTGCTGCAGTTTTCAGTTCATTTGTGCAATCCTCTCTAGTCAAATTCTTGAATCTCAATTTTTTTGCAGTTGTCTTAACGGAGCCTACGTTTAAAAGTAAGTTGCTAGTGATGTTGACATTTCCTTGTTCCTAATTGGATTTAAAAGTTTTGCATAATGTATTCAAAGTACTGGTTTTTCTCTGAGGTGTGTTACCTTTGCTTGTGAGAACAACTGGGTTTGTAGTTGAGAGATGCTTTTGCTTGTAAAATTAGTCTCTGAGAGTTTAAGAAAATAGATATATCACGTGCTGCTTTGAAGTATTAGAAGGATTTGAGAGACAGTTTGCCAACTGACATTTAAAACCCTTGAGAACTTGTTCCAGCCAAACCTTTTGATAAAAAGTAAATGCAGCTATGGCTTAGTTACTAAAATGATTTTAGCTGGTGGCTCAGTGCATGTAATCATCTTGGAACATCCTGAAACTCGTTCTTTTGTTCAGTTTTCTGTCACGGCATTTGGGCTGTGTCTGTGAGCTTGTCACTTCTCAAACCCAGCGTTCCTTCCCATGATATTGAGGCACAGCGGCTCTAAATGCTGTGTTGGCTGTGGTAGCTCATGTAAAGAACACTTCCTTTACCAGGGGTGGTTTTGGGACCCTTCCTGCAGGGCTGTGACTCAGAACCGATGGGATGTCTCACTGTGTAACACCTCTTATGGGCTGTTTGTCCTTGCCACACTGCTGGCAGGGTGTTCCCTTTGGAAATGGCAGCTCCTGGCTGGCACAGTGACCCACAGGTGGCCCTGGAGGTGTCCCTGGGGGCGCAGGAAACACCCAGGGGCAGAGCTAGGCTGAGCCAGACATGTGCTGATCCTGATCCAGCTACTCAAGGGACGGGAGTTTGGCTTTGGTTTGGTTTTCATTCAGTTTTTGTTACTCAGGAGACACCTGGTTTGGGAAGAGCCCCTGCAGCCCTGCTCACTGTGGTAGAGCAGAAGGTTGTATTTTGCTCACTGTGGTACAACAGAAGGGGCTGGATTTGCTGTGACTCTGGTAAATGGCCCAAAGCTGACTCTTCTGCTTGGGACAGTGGGTGCAGACTGCTTTTAACATACCACAAAAGAGTGAGATTCTGACACCTCTACTTGAAAAGGGAGGAAGAAAGAGGCAAATTCAGTTTTACAGTATACACAATTTTAATAACAAAATGCTTCTGTACACTGCACTTGTTTTACTCCATTACTCACACCCCCTCCCACCAGAACTTGGCTCTTGAAACATAATTTAACACAATGCATCTAGGACTCTCTGTAATCTTGGGTTGCTAAGCTGGTAGAATAGTTCACTTACTAGTGTTTTCATTAGTAAAAAGAAAAATGGGGTGGGTTTTGTTTGGCTTTTTACAAAGGACTGGTTGGGAGATGGCAGGCATATCCTCTTAGTGCTTACACGGAGGTGTACAACCTGCTTACACAGTGGTGTACAACGCTGTTTCACCCCATCTGAGGCCTGACTGTAGCCCTCAAAGCTTCTGGTACCTTTCCCTAGATGCCTCTCAGAAGATTTTTACACAAGATGTGAAATGCTGAATTTCCAGCTGATTCTGAAATTATCTCTAAGCATCCTGCTAACGTGATGCCTTAAAAAGCAAAGCCCAGCACCAATTTTAGCATCTGGGACATTTGCAGTGGAGGAAGGTGTGGGGAGGGAGGAGCTGCTGCCTTTGGTTTCTGTTGTTTCCTTGCTTGTTCCTTTTGGGGGGGAGGAGAAATACTGTATCCCCCTCTGAACTTGTCTAATTTTTATGGAAAACTTCATAAGAAAGATGAAATTCAGCTCCTGGGTAAGTTTCATAGATCTGAACAGATGGATTTTGATAGCTACACAGATCACAAAATTAAATCAGCTTTATTTCCATTAAAGTAGTACAGAAATTATCTTAGACACATTAAAAATAAGTGTGTAGTGCAGATTTCTGGTTTAAAGCCATGGGATGTTTCTGATTTTACAAAGTAGCAATAGGCCCCTGTCTTGTAAGGGGGTAATGGGACAGAAGCTCAGATTTGCATGTGGCTGATCACTGAAAAAATCGGATCATTTCTGCTTGGGGGAGAAACAAACAAAACCAAACACCAATGCAGCAGCATTCATTATGTTTCCATCTGATAGGGAACGGGAGCTCAGTGCAGAGGAATACTTCAGCTGGAGACTGAACACTCACCCATTTCACCCTTCATCGAGTCATTTTTCCTTGTGTGCATTTAAACACTGATCTAATGCAGAGAGACTAACTGGGAGCATTAATTCAGCCTGTTCCAGGAGAATGACTCAAAACCCGAACTTGTGCTGCTGGATTTCCATTTCACTGACACGAGGGTGAGGAGCAGGGGAAGCTGCCTGGGTATCAGCGAGGATGGAGGAGATCTTTGGATGGGACGAGGACATCAAGAGCAGTACAAGGAATTCTGTTTGTAAAAGACCCAAAGACCTCTGAGGTTGTGCCTGGAGGTGTTGAAGCACCTGTAAGCAGTGTAGGATCTGTACAAACCAAGGCTATGCAGCAGAGATGGTGTTTGGGGAGGGCAGGTTAACAAGCTCCTGTCATCAGCCAGTGCTTGTACTGAAATATGATTAATTTAAACCAAATAATTGTGGTTCTTGTTCCATCAACAAAATAAATCAGGGACTGCTGAGTAGCACGTTTATTCCAATCCCCTCCTTGCCTGGAAGAGTCACAAGCAATTGCGAATGGAAGACAGTAACTTTAAAATAAAAAATATTAACAGCCTCTGGCTGTGTCCTTGTGCAGAGCGATGGCTCTGCCTGGTGCTCGCTGTCCCTCCGCAGGGAATTCAAGTTGACTTCGCTGCTGCTGTTTGACATTCTGTGAGTTTTATGATACCTGTTACCCTAAATGTAATGTTTGCTGAATTGCTTTGCTTATGCCTGAAACCTGGCAACAAATGGGTTTGGAAATAGCAGACGTAAACCATAGCATTTGGGAGATTGGCTGTGGAGTACAGAGAGGGAACGGTGCTGGGCTGTGCCTGCTCCCTCCTGCTCTGCTGTCTGCAGGCCAGGCACTTCAGGACCAGTGGAAGCTTGGGTGCCTGGGTGGGTGTGCTTTAGTGCTTGGAAAATCACCATGAGTGGCAGGGATGGAGAAGAGGGTTAAATGCAGCATTGCTGGACATCTGTCTTTGCTCTTCCTGGGGGGAATTAAAAGCTCATAAAGATGGAGTGAGACAGAGCTGGGCTGTTGGGAAAGCACCTCCTCTGGAGGAAGCTCAGCTCCTCATCAAGCAGCCCCTTCTCATTCCCTTGTGGAAGACTGAGGTGGTACCCCTTGAACTGTCTGACAGCCAGAGTTTCTGGGATTGCTTCCTGCAGACACAGCTGAGGCTGTCAGAGTTCACTGGTGACATCTGATTGGGGATGGCAGCACAGCCAGATTATTTGGTTGCCAGGATAATTAACAAGCTCAGTGATGACTTTGTCTGTGCTGGTGCCCTGCAGCTGTAGGTAGAAGTCATCCCCAAGTGCCTGCTCCCCTGGCTCCTGGAGCTGGCCTGTGCCAGCCAGTGCAGGGTGAGGCTCACTCACCTGCTCCTGGAGCAGCATCCTGGGCCTCAGGAGAGCTATGAGCACTTACTTATGGGAAGGAGCAAAGCAAATCTTCCTACAGTAGCTAAATACCCCTGGGGACCAACATGGGTTTGTATTTCTCAGCTCTGGCCTTCTGCCTACGTGGGATTTAATAATCCAGAATATCTGCTCTTTGTCCACCTACCCCACAGGATTTTTTTGTAGTCAGTTAAAAGCAGTAATTAATTTCCCAGAACAGGTGTAAATGGACTCATCTTAGTATTAACAGTAACAAGAGTTCAGAGATATCTCTATGGAAATCCATTAGGCTTCACTGGATCATCTCTTCCATTAAAGTACAGAGTCAAGGGAAGTAAACAAAATATTGGTTTTATATTAAGGGCGCTGTATGTAAAAGTAAAATGATGCAAATTAATGTCTTCAAAACCAGCAATTGAAAAACCTTTATGTAAAATCTTACAAGAATTATCTTGCTATAATTGCCTTGGATGAATTAATCTCACAAGAAAACATCAAACTGTTGTATAATTGCACCCTAAATACCTCACTAAGTGGTAATACAGAGAGAAAAGCAGAGTGAAATAGCAAACAGATTTTTGTGTAGTGGTTTTTTCTGTTCAAAAAGTTTGCAGGATAGTTTAATACATCACAATTAGCATACTGTAATTATGGATTTGGTCAAAATATGGCAACACTGTGAGGAATTTCATTTCTTCATCGGGGTGTGCTGGTAATTGTTTAACACTGCAGCATTGGACACAACACATTTTTTTGTTATACATACATGTGTATATATATATATAAAATAATTCTCCATCCCTCTGAATCTTTTAGCTTTGGTTAGAATGTTTACAATATTTGAGCAGTTGACTTAAAAATAATGTAATCCTTTGCAGACCCCCCACCCCCCACCCTCGTGGCATCTGAGTACCACCATCACTGCATAGATCTGCAAATATTTACATATAATTCCATAATAGAGTATAAATAGCAATATGGTACTTCTGGCTAAAGAAACCAAATTACCCCTTAGAATGAGGTGTATGTGTATATATATTTATATATGATTTTTTAAAAAGTCATACTAGTTTAAATTCTGTCCCACATCGAGTAAGAAACAAAACATTTTTCAGTGAACGATTCTATAAACTAATCATATTCTCCTAACTTATCAGAAGGGGTCTTTTTTTATCTTGAATTTTGGAAGAGGAGGACAAGTGAGAGCTTATATTACAGGGGCTAATTCTGTCTCCAGAGAAACCAGTGGAGTTAGTGCATGAAAATAGCTTCCCAGCCAGAGGAAGCCTCAGCTGGGGGGGCAGCAGGGGGACAAAGAAAGGCTTCTTCCTTCCTTCCTTTCTTCCTTCCCTCTTCTCCTTAACCTTGCTGTTGATATTTGCTTTTAATTAAGAGAACCTTGCATTAAGGGTATTTACACATGAAAAGGTGCTGAAATGCTGTTTGTTCATCATCATTAAGTAATTAGCCTGAATTCATGAAAAGCATCATCAAGTGAAACTAGGGAGCCGAGGACTGAATGTACTTAATATTTCCAATCGATCTCAGTGTGCTGAGCCTCTCTAAAGAAGCTGCAGTGCCAGTGTGGGGACACACGGAGGGCTGTCCTGCTCCTGGAGGGGTGTGTGCCCATCCTGCCCAGGGCTGGGTGTGTGTGCCCATCCTGTCTGGAGCTGTGTGTGTGCCTCTCCTGCCCATCCTGCTCTTGTGTATGTGTGCCTATCCTGCCTGGGGCTGAGTGCCCGTGTGAACTGCTCCTTTCTGTGCCTGCTGTTCCTTTCAGCAAGCCGAGCCATGAACATGCAGAGCAAAACTATTTCAGATAAATTCACACCAATGCACTGAAATTCCCACCTGGACCTTTGTTGCTCTTTTTTTTTGTTTTTCCCCTCCCTTCCCTTAGTGGAGTGAAATGCTCAGAGAAGGAAAATCTTCCTCCTGGGCTGCCCTTAAAGTGCCCGGAGCCAGCTGCAGTGTTTGGGATCCTCCAGCTGCAGTGGAACAAACGGAGCACACGTTCCCCACAGATCCCTGCACAGATATCCAGTCTCCTTCCCCTAAGACTGTTTGCAGTAGAAAAAGTAGAATATGGAGACTTGGGTATAAATGTTTACACACAGTCATATAATTACATAACATGAAACATTTTACATAGTTTGAGGTGAGTATCTCTTTAGACTTTTAAACATTAGGAGTGCAAGTTGAATGTAATCATTGCTTCTTTAACACTGAAAATATTATGGATTTATTTTTTAAAAAACTTAAAAATACTGCACCACTCCATAAACAATGTTTCCATTAAGTAGCTTGGAAAATTAGGCTTTATGTCAACATCTGTAAAAATTAGAATCTGATGTAGGTCCCTACAATTTTAAAGTAGGTTACTTATCTGATTTGCTTTCTGATGGGCTGTAGGTATTATACTTCACATTCTTTATAGGGCAGCTGCTGGCACTTGCACTGTCCATAGCCATTGATGATGATGAAGGGTCCTTCGTGGGTGGGTTCGTACTCGTTATAGGGTCCTTGGTCTGACATATTGGCCATATGCAGCCGTGTTTGGGATCGGAGCTGCCTGTGGTTTTGAATCATTGAGCACTGCCTAATTCTTCTTAGTGTGGGAGGGCAGCACTTCCTGGAGATGAACACTATAAAAATGATAAAAAAGAAAGAAAACAATAAAGCCATTGTTCCTGTAATTACCCTCTGAGTGAAGATGGCATTGTTTGGCTCAGGGAACTGTTCTTCGGTGGTAACGACCATGCCTGCTGTAGTTGGAATCTCTTTGTCTCCCAGATGGAAATGAGAAGAGCTTATTCTTTTCGTGTACTCGGTAGTTGGAGCTGTGTACGATGTCGTAGCCACAGGGGTAACCACAGTCGATAAATTCCAGCAAAGCTGAAAACCATACACTGCATCCAGAATATCCTCTCCCTGGGTGTGGTCGGGGCTGTGGCAGAGGATGGAGTGCTCCCACCGACCTTGGAAGCCACTCAACCATGTGGCCAAGGCGCAGATCTTTGGGCTGCATTCCCACAGATTGCCAGAGAGGCCCACGGTGGTGAGGGATGTCAGCGAGCTCAGGATCTTGGAATCCAGAGTGGTTAGCTTGTTGTTATCCATGAGGAGGGTTTTAAGGTTAGGCATAGTTTCAAAGACGGTGAGGTCGATGGCTTTGATTTCGTTTCCAGTCAAATCGAGCTTTGCTAAGGTGCCCCAAGTCCACTCCATCCCACATGTCAAGTTGCTAATTTTGTTCCACTGCAAGAAGAGCGTGTGCAGGCTGCTCAGCCGGAGGAAGTGAGCAAAATTAATCTTTGTCAGCTGGTTGTGCTCTAGGTGAAGCTCCCTCAGCTTGATTAATCCCGCAAATCCATTGCGAGCCAAACTTCGCAAGCGGTTTGTGCTCAAATCCAGGAATTCCAGGCTACGACAGTCCCAGAACAGGCGGACCGGGATGGTCCGCAGGGAGTTGGATCGCAAGTGCAAGGTCTGTAGCTTGCGAAGGCCGTAGAAGAGCTCGGGGTGCAGAGAGGATAACTGATTAAAAGAGAGGTCCAAAGTCTGCAGGTTAAGCAGCTGGCTAAAAGTTGTGTTTGGCAAATGAAAGATTTTGTTGGAACTTAAGACTAATTCCTTAAGTTTATACAGTCCTTGAAAAGAATCTTCTCTGACTGTTGCAATTTGATTATGATCTAAGTGAAGCCAAGTAAGTTGACTGAAGCTTGCAAATTGATCCCTTTCAAGTTCAGAAATATAATTGTGCCTCAGTGACAAACCTAGCGAGCCCTTTTCAGTGGTGTTTGGCACTGAGTGAAACCCCTGAGAGTCACAGTAAAAGAGCAGCTTCTCACAGCGACATTTTGGTGGACAAGCCATGCCCAAGGCAGGCAGCATTTTTAAAACCATACTCATTGCATATAGTGCTGCCAGCATACGAGCCCCTAATGGCCACTTGAAATGTAAGCCTGCAGAATATAATTTAGGAAAACAACAAGATAGGATAGCCTTATCAGTACACTTGGAATATCACGGTGGAAGATTTCACTGCAGATAACATTGCCATGCATTTCCAACAAGCTAATTCTAAATGCAAGAAACAACTTACTACGACAAACCGAATACTTGGACATTACACTTAGGAGGAGGCTTTATCTCGATTACGGAGGGTTACAGAGGCGCTATCGGAAAACATTTTTTTCTTAAGGTTCAGTGCAGAGCAATCTGCTTTAGCATCTTAACTGCCTCTTTAAAGCAGAGCTGTCATTCATTATACAAGGAACAGAGAAACACAGGAACTTACCCATTCTTTTGAGTACATTGGAGGGTGCATTCAGTCGTAGTTTGAGACTCAACGCCGTGAGTCTGTGAAAGGCTCTAATGTAAAACAGCCTTGAATAATTGACTGGGTTTAGTGTCCTTTGATATTAGTGCAAAATCCATGATGCTCTCTTGGAATATTCCTTTTGAAATTGCTGCCTTGATCTCTGCTGACAGGTCTGCAATTTTTAAATCTTAATACAAGTTTTTGTCCTCCGTGGCTGCTCAGCTGGTTAATTGAAGCTCACGTTTTCCTTTTCCACAGCTGTGGCTTCTTTTAGTCCTAACTTGTTGATGGCAGATGGGTGGCTTATTGCTGAGAGAAGCTCCTGTAGTAGCATGAGTGCATTTACTGAAAAGCTTTTCAGGGAAGCGGTACAAGAATGGATTTGCTTATGCGCTGTGACCACACAGGGCTCTATATAGGCTGACGTCACCTGGTGACGTTCCTTTTGTTTGGGTTTTCCAGAAGCTTTGCTGTTTTAAAGCATTGTGCTGCATGCTGTGATCATGTTAAAGACCACTGATAGAGGGGGAAAAATCCAGCGGCAGGAGTCCTTCGTCCGCAGGACAGAAGGAGCAGGAGGGACTCGCAGCACCTTCTCCCCCCACATCTGCACCGGCTCTGCTCAGCTGGGGTTAAAAGCAGCGCAGAGCCGCGGATGGAAGTGCCTGAGTGCTGCCTGCTCCCACTTTTCTGCTAAATCTCCCTGCATGAAAGGAACTTTTAGATGCAAAATGCGCAGAGTTTGAATAGAGGATGCTGGTCAGCACTGGCTTTCATGGAGGTGAGAGGGACTGGGCAGCTCAGAGCTCTGTGTGACAGCTGTGTGTGACTGTGGTCCCTGCAGAAGTGCAGAGAGCAGTGCTGGGGCTGGAGCAGGGATATCAGGCTGTACAGCCTGGGAGCAGGGCACAGGAGCAAGCGCTTCAAGCCAGGAGAAATTTCTGGAAAAAGCAAAGCTTGCATTAGGGCATAGGAAAAATTTAATTGGAATCCAGCTTGACAGTGTGTGGTTATGAAACTAGAAAATCTATTTTCTCCTCCCAAAAGGTGGCTTTTATACTTGCTTCTTCCTGGGCACTGGAGTGCAGGGCAGAAATCGTGAGATTGGCATTTCCGGTTGGTGCTCAGAGCGGTGCAGTGGGTTCCTTGTGGTCACCCACAATGTCCTGCTCCTTTGTGTCCCCTCAGAGAGGGGGGACATAGCTCCAGGAGCCCCTGGCTGCAGGGTGGGTCTGTAACAGTTATCCTGTGGGTTTAGGGCTGCAGAGCTGTGCCCCTGCAGAGCTGTGTGTGCCCTACAGCCCCGCCGGGCACTGGCTGGAGCGTGCACACGCAGCCAGGAGGAGGACAGTGGGCTCTTAGGGCTGCTTGCTTGCTTTAAAGGTTCATTGCCCCATTATTCAGGGCAACCTCTCCTCTGGGACTGCTGGTACTGAAAGGTAAATGACCAGCTTCGATTGACATTTTTATATATTTTTAGGATGCATGTGCAGGCTCCAGCCTTTGGAGCCACTGCTGTGGTCATAGCTCGATGTGGGTGCAGCAGGGGGATGCTGGTTTCCTGCTCTGGGCAACTTGGATAAGCTTTTTTTTTTTAATTTTCTCCTTGAGATATAAAGCAATAATGTAGAGGAGGCACTTGAAAATGTTTGCTGTGTAGCAGCGAGGTATCACCTCTTAACCTCCAAGATCTGGAATGAGCTGAGAATAACAAATTTCCCATGGTGATGGAGCAAGATGAACTGTGTCTAAAGAAGGGTTCAAAACAAAATGGCTGTTTACCTTTGTTATTAAATGTGGGTTCCTTGCTTTGGTTCCTTGGAAGTCCCTGCTTAAACCAAGACTTGCTGTTTTCTGCCTGCTTCTCCCTTGGCTGTCCTGTGGTGGAATGGTGACACTGCCTCTGGTGCTTCCTTTTTGGGATGGGCGGACTCAAGGGGAGCACTGAGTGGAAAGTAAAAGGATGAAGAACGTGAATGCACAAGAATAAAATCTCAAAAAAAGCTAAATAAACCCTACCCTGAACCCATCAGGAAAGTAACTGTCTTTAATGATTAAGCAAATTAGGAAATGTTAGATAAATTTCTTAAATTGCTCAGCCATAGCAAATGTTTTCACATTTGCTCCAGTGTGAAGAAATCCATGCAAAGAAATGACATAAACCCATTTAAAGAGATTATTTTTGTTTAATGTTCAGGGTACGAAGAGCTCAGGCTCGGCTCCAGCTGTCCAGTGGACTCTTGGCTCTGCAGCACCTGCAGAGGGTTCTTGGAGCAGCTCTGTGCAACACCCTGATCTGAGGTGTTGGTTTTAATTCTAATAACATTTCAATATGTTACCATAACATTTAACAACAGCATTCCAAAGGGTATAATTTGAGGTCAACTGTCAGCTCTTTCCCTCTTACCAGGAGACTGAAATTAGGTATCGTTGGAAACATTTTGCTTTTTTGCATCAATATCTGCTGGTAGGTTCCTCCCACGTTAAGATTGTGTAATTTGGCACAGAGTTAAGGATTAATGTTCAAACACGGTGAGTTGCTCCTTTTCTGAAGCTCTCCATTCTTTGGCCCTTAACCAAACAAGGGCTATTTAGCACCTTGCCAGCGAGTTTCCTGTTTAGGAAACTGTTAACGCGAACTTTATGGGCGCTTTTCTTAGCAAAACATGTTTTTATGTGCGCTTGCTGTGAAATAACAGTTATTACCTCAAGTGTGCATCTCAGTCTCTGAAGTCTGGAACACTGCAGTAACATTCACATTCTTCCTTGGGAGCTGCCTGGGATGTCAGGGTGCAACAGACTGGGAATAAGCCCCCAGAAAACTCATGCAAATGCATTTCTTCTGAGCTTCAGTACTCATTGTCCAGCATGAAAAACCATGTCTGATGCCACCTGGGCACTTCTGCCGCAGCAGGACTTTATGGCAGTCTGAACCCTCATATGCAGTGTGGACAGGGAAGTTGGCAGGAAAAAGCTTGCTAGGACCAGATAACCCTTCTGAGGGCTTCTCACCTACCCTGCTCCTGGAGCAGCGGCACAACTGGTTTTCCTTTGCTTGCTAAACCCATGCGCTGGGAAAGTAGAATTGCACCCTGAGGCGAGCGTTGTCATTTAGTTAGGCTGACATCTTGTGGAAGCCTTCCTAGTGTATTAAGAACAACATACAAGCTAATTTTACTGGATGGAGATGTGGGGGCTGCATGACTTTGCTGTGCTGGGGGCCTGGAGGGTGCAAGCCCCGGAGCTGCAGGTGAGACTGCAGCAGGCAGGACAGGCAGTCCTTGTGTGGCACTGCACAGCAACCAGCTCACCCTTCTGTGGCCGTAGGAATTGTTGCTGGGCATTAGCACCTCAGGAGCCACAGGAGGATTTGCTGCTTTTTGGCCAGAAGGTTGTGTTTGTGCTGTGTCACGGGGCTGTGAGGCAGGAGGTGAGCAGGGATGTGTGGGTAGGGTGTCACTGTACCCGCTCTTGGATTCACTGCCATGGGAGCACTGAGCCCTAGGAGGGGACACACAGGACAAAGGCAGGTTGGAGGTGACCCAGCAGCAGAGATGCGCCCAGGGCTTCAGGCCAGCTGCAGAGTTCTTTGGGGCAGGGCAGTGGGAGGGATGGGTGCTGAAGGTTGGGTGTCCTTGTCTTCATGGGAGCAAAGGGCACATGTGGTGGCATAGCATGGTGGCTGTCACCTCCCTGTCTGGAAGCTCTCTGCAGCTGGCACTGGTTGTAATTCCTCCTTGTACCACAGTGAGTGCAGCAGCCACCCTTCCCCTCTCTGTGGTGCAGCCTGGCCATGGGGAGGGATGTCAGGGTGTCACCTCCCTGTCCGGCACTGGTTGTAATTCCTCCTTGTACCTTGTACCACAGTGAGTGCAGCAGCCACCCTTCCCCTCTCTGTGGTGCAGCCTGGCCATGGGGAGGGATGTCAGGGTGGCAGTGCTGTGGCATGGCCAGCTGGGCAGGGGGACAGTGCAGGCAGCTTTATTGTCACTCAGGCTCTTGCTGAAGCCAGAACGATGCCGTGCAGCCCATTTAGTGTGCTGAGCTGTGGGAGACTCCTTCCTGCAGCAAACCAGGGCACAGTCCTGCTTCCTGCACCTTGGATGTGAGAGCACTGCTGGAATTCGTGTGGGTAACGCCTCAGTGCTCACACTGCCTGGCCCTGAATCAGCCCTGTCTGGCTGGAGTTGGTTGGCAGCCCTGCTGTCACAGTGATGGAGGGCTGTGCATGGTTATCCTCTGTAGACACGGAATTAGGCTGGGTGGCAGGGCAAAACCAAGCATGGGACACCCGAGCCCTGATGCCTGTGTCCCCTGCCAGCAGAGCTCAGAGGTGGCACAGTGGCACACCGTGACACACAGTGACACCCTGCCTGCCCACAGGAAGGTGTGCCAAGCACTCCCTTGTAACTTATTCAGCCCCCATCATTAACCAGGATGCTGCCTGTTGTACTGACAGTCCAGGAGTCAATTCCCAGACACCTGAAGCAGAAACCTCTCTGCCACCCATCCTTTTTGGTGGTTGTGGCAGGGGTGGCAGGTGGGACAGTGGTGGCTCTCAGCAGTGGCACATTTGGCTTCCATCTGAGTGCTGATTCGGGGATGGGGGCATGATGGACTCAGCAGGGATGGTGCGAGGTGGTGCTGAGCAGGAGGTAACTGTTTCCCTCAATACCTCTGTGGGCTCAGCTTTACCCAAACTGATGATGAACATTTAAGATTAACAGCAGATGTTTGTGATGTTTACCTACAAAAACATATCTTTGAGTAGCTGGTTACAGGACATGCTCTGTTGATCCTGGTGGAATACACCACCACCACCATGCCCCTGTACCTCTATAAATCGCTCAGGATTAGATTTTAACCTCCATAGCTATAGGAAGAGCTTGAGTCTGTCTTTTGCTTGTCTGAATTCACATGGCACACCTACAGCAGGAAGCGTTTGTGACAGAAATGGTGATTCTGCTCCCCTCCCTGTGTACAAATCCCCTTTCTTTGCTTTGAGCATTAAAAGAGTCCCCTCTGGGGATGGTGGTGTGAGCTGGGACTGTAGGGATGTGACAGGGAACGCTCGTGTTGCTCTGCAAGCAGGGCAGCAATGGTGGGGGAAGAGCAGAGATGAAGGGAGTGGGGGTAACAAGCAATTTTTAACATCAATTCTATCCTCTTTGATAAAGATCTGATTTAAAGTAAATTTGCACCATGGCTAAATTTATTATCCACAATACTGGTCAGAGTTGGGATATCATATTGCAGAATGATTGACATGGTCATCATGACCCTATTAAATCTACTGAATCTATTAGCTGCTCACTAGCTGCAGGGTTTGTGATTCCCTCAGCAGAGTTTTGTGCTGAATATCTAAAAATCCTATTAGAAATTGGAATATTTGAGCTTCACTCTTGTGAGTCCTCCTAATCCCGTGGATAGCAGGAGCTGCTGGCTGGGCTGCCTTGTGCTGCCGGGTCATTAGCTGGCTCCTCAGTGAGGGTTCACACTAGACATGAGGACCAGTTTTTAATGGTCAGGCTAATTGGTTAGTGGAACAAATTACCCAGAAGAGCTAAACTGGCACTTGGAGCCTTTAAAACATGATTTATGAGTTGAGAGAGGGAGCCCAGCTCAAACAGGATTTTTGAACTGTGGGGTGGAACCAGTGGGTTAAATTCCTGACTTGTGTGGCAGCCTGGACAAAGTGGCAGTGCTGTGGTCAGGGGTGATCCTCAGCAAATTTCTGTGCCC